TCGTTGAAAATACTTCTCGCACAAAAGTTTGCCTGAAATTTTTAGTTTGGCTAAGTAAGCTTAATAGTAGGCCATAAAAAATAAATAAAATTGTTTGTTTTAATTGATTGATACATTCTTGTAAAGCTCATTGTTTGATCAAATAAGTGCTTTAAGCTATCCATAAAGTTATTTTAGTTCATTTTTGTTGCTTAACAAGCTTGAATTTTTCATTAAAGCTTTGAAGCAATGAACGATCGTTTAGTGAGTGACTTAAAGCTTTAAGTTGTGTATTTTTTTTATATTTATATCAACTCTAACCAATTAATGCTCTCTAGAAGCTTGTCAGTGCTCGCAGGACAACTGCATATAAAATATTTCAACTTTAAGTTGGTTTGTAAAGCTCATTTGAATTTCAAGCACTTTAAAAATCTGAATTTAAGCTTTAAGCTGCTTAATCCAAGCTTGCTGACCTTCATGTAGGATTGAAGCTATAAGCTGCTTACAAAGTTAATTTCATGCAACCTTTAATATGATATTACCTCACGCTAAGTTTGCATGTGCTTTTAAAGGCCACTGTTAATCCTCTCGAAAATCATCCATCAAAAATGTGTTGAGCTGAAATCTCGAACCCATTAAGTGTGCTACAGGCCTTAATGTGCTTTCAAAGCTAGTCATGCATGAAATTATGCAAAAATATATATTAAAAACAAATATAACCGGAAAATCGAGCAATTTATTATATATATGTATACATATATTTTTTCTCTCTTTTGATTTTCCTTCTGTTGTTGTTCGCGCGATGAAAAGCTGACAAATTTGGCGTGGCAATTGTTTCACATGGTTGGTGGCATGCGGCGACAAGGCAAGTCATAACAGTGTCACGACTTGACAAGAGCTATATATGTACTATATACACGGCGACTGGGCGACTGTGGTTACAACAACAACAACTACAACAATCACATAAAAGCCGCCACAGAGAACAAGAGACGTGTAAAGCGAAATCACACGCGGGCCACCAAAACCAGCACAAAATAATGTATGGAGGTGGCCGAGAAGAAGAGGAAGAGCTGAACTTTGAGGTATGGTTCACACACACACACACACACGTGCACTCCTACACACACATAGTCATGTTGTTCGCGCAGGACATGGGACACAAAGGCACATTAAGGATTATTTATTGGACGTTATTTTTCAGGCGGCATTAAAATTTTTGGATTTTTTTTCTGCTCCTGCTGTTCTTTTTTTTTTTTTTTCGTTACAATATGAATTATATTTCACTTGTGTCATAAACCGCGTAAAAAATGCGCTTCCAACAGCTTGACAAAAAGGCAGCAGCAGAAGAAGAAGAAGAAGAGAGCTGCAAAATGTGGATGTAGCAAACTTAAAAAACATAAACTGATTCACGTCTATAAAATATTTAATATGCTGACATGAACTTTGACGCCTTAAACGAGCAGTACGAGCGATATATTGCGCTGATTTTAGTGCTGTGCTGCAGGTGTGTGCGTTATCGATTGCTGTCGATAAATTTGCATGAATACTGGGTTTAGACTGCTCTACTCCCTTTAGTAATATTAAAGGAATTTTAGAATACTTCATAATAATTTTAATTTATTATGCTGTATAATACATTGATTAGATGTTATGGATATATTTTTTATTTTTTCAGTATTTATTGAATTTATTAATTTTTATATTCCTAATCGTCTATCCATAGTGTTTGATCTTTAATGTTTTATTATAAATTATTATTCATACATTTTCTCATAGGAAAAGCTTAGGATCATCATGTCTATCTATTAGTATTATTAGCGGTAAGCTGAGAGCATGACTAAGAACTTTGGCAACTAGTTTCAATGTTCTTTTCACAAAAGCAGACTTCCCATTCGTCCTTTAGCATTTCTTAAGCGTTTCACTTCGCCGTGAAACTTTCGTAAGCCATCGAAGTGTAGGAAAACATTTCGTTTTTTTTTTTTTAATTTTACATTTTACTTCCCTGTTTTTTCTCTTTCTCTGTTATTGCTGAAGTTAAGATAATTTTGTTTGCTTGAAGGGCTCGTTAAAATCGTAAAATTCATAAACTTGCACAGCTTGATTTATTGGACTTGCCGTTCAGTTAGCCGCCTGGACGATGTTTTCACTGGAGGTCAAGTGCGCTGGGTCATTAAAGAGTCGTATGGTGCGATAAAAAATGCAATTAGCTTGTACACACACCAACAGCAACACACACACACACGCATACACACACACACACATACACATACAATGTAACATACGTAATTAGCCGCATATTTAACTTTGGTCCGGTGGTTCATAAAACTTTCAACGTGGCTCAAATTAGTGGCACAATTTGTTGTTGTTGTTGTTCTTCTTCTTCTTGTTTTGTATATTTTTTTATTGCTCAGCTTTTGCAGTTGTTGTTTTGCTGTTTGTTGTTTTTATGGCTGAAGTATGTTAATATCCTTGTCAGAGACTTGCAGCTGCTGCAAGGATAACTCAAAAGTCTGGGCTACTTTTTATGCCCATTTGAGCCCAATTGAAAGTGATTTGCATCGGGTATATTGGTTTTCTGAAGTGGAATGTCAAGATGTGAGGCAGAGTCAATGCAGTTATATGCAATACCTTGCCCATTCCATTTGTTTGGTTGTCTATCTATCGCTCCTTCTGCTAGACCTTTCACTGCCTGTGCCTCTGTCTATATGTGTTTCCATCCATCGCTCCAGCCTCTTATCTTCTTAAGTCTATTCCAAGGTCCGTCCGTCTAACTATTTTTTCGTTCACTTGCCCATTCCTTGTAATTTCATTTGTCTGTCCCTCCGTCTTATCTATCTATCCTTTTGTACATCTACCCATTCCTCTGTCTCCTTTATGCCTTGACACGTAACTTCTCTTATAGACTAGATAGAATTTTCTTCAAATAATCGATAGCTTGTAAAAATGTCTAATTTATTCAAATTCATTTTTAAAATTTATTCATCAGAGTATATTCCAAGTTCTTAGGTCATCATATATTGTAGACAGATAGATTATACCACAAGTAAACCATATAGAATGCTCCATTTTTAGGCTACCTCTTCGCTTACAACTCGTTAAAAATTTGGGATACTTGACATATCAGCTCGACTCGGGTATTAAGGGTATTCCCTCGTTAAACAATTCCGATTAGAGTACTCCTACTCCTCTCACTTGTTTAACTTTCAGAGATGCCGTCAACGCGTCGTATGCGTAATCTGTGCAAATCTAAGCAACAAAACGCGACACTGTTTACAAAAAGCTTATCAATCAATTCTGGCTAGCAGCAGCAGCAGCAGCAGCAGCGGCAGCTGAAGCAGCAGCAGTCGCATCAGCCTAGCGCAGCCAGCGAGGGGAACGTCTTCTAGCTCACAGAGGTCATAAAAAAGCAGCAGAGCAAAAACTTTGGCGCCGCGACCGACAGACGCCAAGCATATCCTGCAACCCTTAAAGTCTAAGAGTGACGAGCGAGAAGAAAAAAGAACGAAGCAAATTGCAGTTGAGCATAGCCGACGGCATAATGCGCGTTTGTGGTGCGAGAAAGCTGAAGGGTGAAAAAGTGTGGGGGGATCGTCAAGGAATCTAAGTGTGAAGAGGTATATATAGGTAGCCTCTCGATGTTTATCTGAGAAGGAAGAAGCTTGAATTTCATTCTTAGATATACCTATTCATATTTAGGTTTGTTGACTATAGTGAGAAGAGTCAAATATGAAAGCTATGATGGATATATCCAATTGAAACGCATTCTTCTTCTTACCAGAGAGATCCATAAGCATTTGGTTACGGAACTTGATTTAGTTTGAAGTACAAGGAAATACATATATTGAAAGGGAAATTCGATAGATTCCTTAAATAGTTCTTAGAGAAGGCTTAGGATTAATTTGAAAGGCTCTCTGGGAAATATAGTTATTACGCGACTTCCTTTACTCCCAGTAACATCTTCATATGCTTTGTGGAGAGATCAATAACATTTAGATCCACGAATCTTGGTCAACTGTGCAGCCGCAAGAGATAAAGTCTTACTCCATTTGTCATGCCTCAATCCTCCAACCCATTTTCCTACCTTGGACCAATTCCAATGCCTCTAGCTACACACATATGGCAGAACAACCAATATACTCTCCTTCTACCCAATGAGAACGCAAAACAGAACAAGAATTTGGACAATAAAAATTGCCAAAGTCAGCTGTGGCAGACGAAAAGGGAGAGGAGGGAGGGGGGGAGAGGGACAGCAGCTAGGAGAGGGCGAGGACGATACAATGATAATGCCAAGCATAATAACAGCCAAAACGGCGTCATCATAGCAACAACAACAATAACAATAAGAGAAAGCGTGAGACAGAAAGGGAGAGAGAGAGAGAGCGGGATAGATAGTGAATGAGAGCGAGGGACGGTGACTGCTCGCTTGACTTTAACAATTTTTTGGCCACAATGGGAATTGTCGCCAAAATCCTGCGAGCGCGTCCTTTAGCCCGTGCCGCGCTGCCATTGTCCTTATGCGTGGCATTTTGCGATAAACACGATGTGATAACATTTTACTATATATATATAAAAATATATATATTTATATGTAAGTGTGTAAGTGTGTGTGTGTGTGTGTGGTTGCTATTTGGGGCGTGCTGCTGCAAATATGAGTGAGCGTGTGATCAATAGCTTAAATTGTGAATGGCATGAACACAATATATATTATAGCAATATATATATATCTGCTATAAATATGTGCATATATATATATGTGTGTGGCTTATGCATGCCAAATAAGCCCGCATGAAAATAGTTTATATGCATATCATATGTGGCAACAGTATATATTAACTATATATTGATTGTATTTAGTTTACTAGCATTGGAAAGTTGAGATGAAAGTAGAAATGAAGATATTGATGATAATTAAAGAACTTTATATAGATCAAGCGCAGCACTATATTCATGAAGACTATGATTCAAAAAGTAAATAGAAATCTTTTAAATTTATTATTAATATTACAGGTTTGCTCAAAAACAATAACTCAGTAGCTATGTATAACATTTTCCATAAATATTATGAGAAATTATAAAAATAGTTGGATAGTTTGAAATGTTTTGATTATTTAAAAAATATTGAGAAGGTAAAAGGTTAAATATATGTATATACATCTAACTATTGAAAAAATTTATAATATGCACAATTCCAGGGCTTCACACAAAGTACCACAAATGTTGTCTAAAATCATTTTGATTTTCCTGTGATATTATTTTTATTCCCGTATCCCTTACTTATATTCTCCAGCTTATGAGCTTATGAGCTTCGACGTAATTTCCAAATTGCAAAAAGATAGAATGGAGCAAAAAATCCCTTTAAAATTGTTATCCAAAAACAAGACCCTAACAATGCGGCAGCCATCGAAAACGATGGAGAATCTCCCCAAGCAGCGCTTTGTCACATTCCCCTGTTCGATGAAAGGACGACGCTACGTTACGATTGAGGAGATAAATACGACGCCGAGACCGAAGCTGCACAAAATAACAAAAAAAGATTATTTAAAGTCTGCCGAGCATTGGGAAAAACTAGCATTCAAATGTATAAAACTATAATAATATATCAATAATAATAGGATAATAATAATAATATAACATTAAGATATTTCGTATATATTTTGAGCAGCCCTCGTATGCATATTCTTATGTGTGCTCATGCCTATTTCATAATATTAGCTATAGTTTTTTTTAAATAGGCAAGTTCATTGGAATTTCCCTTTATTAAATTCCCATCGCTAGCAATATTTTGTTTGCCTCACGCTCAGCTCTAACAATCGCCTCACTTTTCATTTATGAGAAAATATATTGTTTTGCTTTGTTTTGATTGCGTATGTGTAGGTGGATGTGTGTGTAGATGTGTGTGTGTGCGTGTGTGTGTCTTTGATTTCTTTTTTGTATGCAATGCTTTAAGCGTTTTATTTGGCTTGAAAATCTTACAGCTTGTTCTGCCGCTGTTTCTACTACTTCCTCAGATTGTTGCCGCCTTATTACATACATATAAAATAAATGTATGTATATATGTAGGTGTGTGAGCGTGGGCGCTCTTAAAGTTGCACATTCAAGCAAACTACAAGCAGGCAAATATAACATATATACATATATGTATGTATGTATATATATTTGTATATACTTTTGAAGAAAGCACTGTTGAAGGAGCAACATAATTTGAAGCATCCTTGAAGCATAAGTTTCTTTACAAGTTGCCATAAACAAGTACGTATATTAAATATATATATGTAATTCCTTCTTTTTTTCAACTCAACTCAACTCAACTCGACTTGTTTCGTCTCGTCTCGAGCTGTGCGCGCTTCAAATAAAATCAACATAATTTTATTTTTGCCGTGGCTTCTATTTAATGCAAACACATTTCAAATGTTGCCCGTCCGCAAGTTGACAAGAAATTTTTGCTACTGCAGCTTCAGAGTCTGGATTGTGGTTTCCCTGTTATGCTCGTTTGTGTTGGAGGTGGGAAAGAAGAGAAAGAGAAGAAAGAGGTAAAACAGTCTATATATTGGGTATGTAGGCAATGACTGTAGCTAGTTACTGGAATTTGATATAGGTTAATGGTATGATTTTTATTTCTATTAGATTTTTCAGTTATAATTTTCAAGAGGTGTTTAAGTCTATTGTACAATCATACAGTAAAAAGTCTTATAAAAAATTATATCTATTTTATATAAATATTAGTCTATATAATCTGCCTATTCAGTTGGGCTTTATTTTTTATAAGAGCTGGACATTCCTGACTGGTTCGTCTCTATATGAACTTGACAGTCATAACTGGTTCATTTCTATTTGAAGCTTATGACTGGATCTTGTTTATAAGAGCTTGGCAGTCCTGACTAATTCATTTGTATAAGAGCTTGACAGTCCTAACTGGCTCATTTGTATAAGAGCTTGACAGTGCTGACTGATTCATTTGTATAAGAATTTCACGATTGGTTCTTATTTTATAAGAGCTTGACAGTCCTGATTCTTTTTTATAAGAAATGGGCATTCTTGACTGATTCATTTGTATAAGAGCTTGGCAGTGCAGTACTCTCTTTAAATATATATAAATATATAATCATATAATATAATTCAATATAATACTAAATATAATAAAATATTTGGTGATTACGAATTATTCTAAAATATAATTCTATATAATATAGAAAATAATTTGAATTCCCCAGTCAGAAATCATGAAACCTTACAGCATGCACAGTGTGGCTCTCCAGAACCTTTATGTAGTCCATGGAGTTCTAGGCATATTAGCATGAATACTCTGGACATACAAATTTCGTTGACTACAGGGCATAATTGTTATTGTCTAATGCACATTGAGCCAGGCCTAGCATAAATTTGAGTCTGTCTCTATGTGTGTGTGGGTGTATGTGTGTGGCATTGTCATTGTCATAACATAAAAAGCGCTGCTGTTGCATAGCGTAAATCCTTTTGGGGCAAACATGAGGGAGGGGGATGGCGATTATATGAGGTGAGAGAGTTGGGTGGGTGGCAGGTGGAGATAGGTGGAATGTGGCACATATTTGTGTGACATGTTTGTTGTCGGTTGCATGGTCACACAGTGACGGTGCGCGCATGTGGCATGTGGCATGTGGCAGACAGGTAGCAGCTTTTAATATTTCTATTTTGCGCAGCCCAAAGCTGCTTTAATGCCAAATGCCGCAAGAGTAGCAGCCACAGGAGCAGCAGGAGCAGGAGTGGGAGCAGGAGCAGCAGGAGCTGTAGTAGTAGTTGTTGCCCCGCATGTTTATGCATCAGCTGCTGCTGCTATGTGTTGTAAGTATGTGTGTGTGCGTGTGCTGTGCGGGTGTTGCGTGATTTGTGTGTGCCCGCGGCAATTTGCCAGGCGAACGGGCTAAAATGCATTTTGTGCATTCGGTTTCGCTTACAGCGCAGCCGCAAAGTATGCAACGCAAATGCCAACAAAGTGTTCTATTTTTTTCGCTTTTGGTTTTTTGTTGTGTTATCAGCACTGCGGGCGAGCGCATGAGTAACGGTGCATGGCCAAACAGCGGGATTGAAGCGTGCAGAGCGAAACCAAAACAGTTGATGGCCATAAAATTGGAGTTTAATAACTATGCTCTGGTTGGATATAAAAATGAGAGAATATAAAATCCCATAAGAGAATGAATGGAAATAGTGGGAGTTTTGATAGATAAGTCAACTAGATGGCAAAATTCCCTTCATATGGATGTTGAGGCTTAAACTGGGAATTTTTAAATTCTTAATTCCTTTATGTTAAAAGCCAATTTCCCAATTTCAAATTAGGGAATATAGAGAAAAAGTACTAATAATTTCCTTAATTTGTAAATAAAATAAAAAAGGTATTTATCAAAATTTCTATTGCAATTTTATGATGCGTAAAATTTGTTGATACTAATTGGTTGATATTTAAATATGCACGCTTCATTGAAATTCCTGTATTATGTTTAATGGGAAGACATTAAATCTGTCAATAAATAAAATATTCAATATATCTTTGACAAATCATCATTGAACATTGAATCAATTGCTGAAACTATTATCAACTAGTTACACGCTCAATCAGTTAGTTATAATCAGCTTATCAATGGCTAAATAATCTGTAAACTAGTTCGATTTCAATCTCTTGACTTCAGCATGACTTGTTAATTGAGTTTGTTCAGTTTTTCTTTGCATCTGCCAACAGCAAAGGAGGACAATAAAGAGAAGAAAAAGAAAGAGAATGAAGAAATTGTAAGCTGCATAGTTTGGCTAACGCACAGCAAATTGCAATAATGTCAAGCATTTATGGCCAACAACAAAGCGAATTTGTGGAATTCGCTCAACTCGAACTCAAAGTCAAATACCCACGCATCTACACACACACACACACACACGCACACCTAAACTCTGAGCACATCCGACGCAACGGTCAACGTGAATGGCGTCGCGTTCCGGAAGTCGCTGAGTAGACTTCGTTTCAAGTTGTTGTTGTTGTTGTTGTTGCTGCTGGCAGCTGGCGTTGCTTTTTAACATCATTCAGCAAGCCGCCCAGCCCACCTACAACTGCCGTTAATGAACAGCAGCCTGTGGCAGGTGAAAGCAAGTAAAAGTAAAGGTATAAAAAAAGAAAAAAAAAAGCAACAAGAATGTAAGAAATGCGGCAAAGAAATCGCTTGGCCAAGTGCCATTTGGCGATTGCCAAGGGGCGGCTGTCATGGCTCGGGGGCGTGGCTCAACTTACTTTTTAGCAAATCCGCCAGTGTCGTAAAGTCGTTTATTTCAACTGTGGCGAGACGTAAATGAAGTTAATGTCCTCGTGCTCGTCCTCGACGTTGACGTCGTCGTCGTTGTTGTTGTTGTTGTTATTGTTGTTGTTGTTGTCGTCGTTTTACGGCTGTCCTTGCTCTTCTTTGCAGCGACAGCTCCTTTAGCTGGTTTTGACTGTCTTTTGCTTATCGCTTCTCGCTTTGCATTGGAACTGGACCAAATTTGCTTGACAATTGCTGTGCGTGTGCGTGTGTGTGAGGGAGAGAGAGAGGGCAATACAGGTGTGATAATAAGCATAATGAACATCTATGCGACAGCTGAGCTCAATTCTCATTTTGGTTTAACGGCGTAAATTCTACGCGATTCTTTTTATGCAGTTTTCATTAGGCGCATTTGTGCCAGCTGCTAATGAAGATCTATTGTCATTTAGCTTAGCCTAATTGGATTAATCCAGCTATGTAGTAGCAGCAGCAGTAGAAGAGGAAGAAGCTTAACTACCTGTAGTTAAGTTGAAAGTTAGCTAGGTGTGCCTTGAGCTTAAGCGCCTAGATTGCATTAAGTTCTCTTTATATACAATGAAGTTTTAATGAGCTTAGCTAGCTGCTTGGGTTGATGTCTGGAGTTTTTTTATTTATAGGATTTTTTTAATCAAATCGTATTTTAACACATGCTAGACAAGTAGAGCTTTCATATTAATATATAAAAGCTTTTAAAAAGCGTGTATTAATCTTTTTCAAAGCGTGTAATCGTGTGAGCTTTAATGAGCTTTTATATTCAGTCAGCCTAATATCTCGGTTTTGATAAGCTTCTTAAGGTATCTTAAATATCATCATGTTCAGTCAGGCCAATATCTCAGTTTTGATAAGCTTTAAGAAGCTTATCTTAAATATCATCTACTACATATTAAAGCTAATCAGTTTTCTAAAGTACTTTCTTTAGTTATCCTAATACATCTTGCCAATCTTCAAATCGATTCGTTAAAACTAAAACTTCTTTTTTCACTTTCCGCTATTCGAAGCTTTTGGATTAATTCTGGGAAACTTTCATATATTCTATTGCTGCTATGAAATAATTTTGACAGCTAAAATATTAGGATGTCGTTTTACAAGATGAATATCTAGAGGGTTTGTCAAACCTTTAAGCATTATATTTATATATTCTGATTAAATAAGAAGTCTTAACCTATTATAGCTTTCAAACATCTCACTCACAAATCTCAAAGATTCTCAAGCTGTCTTAAATTTGAATACCATTTCACCCAAGTGGAATTCAAGCGACAAGTGACATTTTCAGCTGGTGTCATTTGAGTGGATAAGCAACGGAGGTGGGTCAAGGCAGGCCAAGAGTTGCTCATCTCTGACAGA